CAGCTGCCGTCCTGGTCCCAGCGCTGGGACGGCCGGTCCTGACCCGCTGTGGGGGTTTAGCAACGTTCCAGCTCCTTCTTTCCCCTGGCAGAGGAGCAAGACCGTCTGTTAGGCGATCAGCCTGACCAGCCCCAGAACCCCAAAGTTTTAAGAATTGCCATCATTGGAGCACCGAATGCTGGAAAGTCTACGTTGTCAAATCAGCTCTTGGGCAGAAAGGTAAGGCTGGCGTGGAGCAACAAGTTCAGGCTGCTAAGTTGCTTTTTTTGACGCGTTCTGACTGTAACGTGTTTCATTTCTTACAGGTTTTTCCCGTCTCTAAGAAAGTGCACACAACCCGATGCAAAGCCCAGGGCGTCGTCACATACGAGGACACACAGCTGGTAAGCTTCCAGACCTGCTCCCGCCTGGGGCAGCAGGGAGTGTTAGCCAGAAAGTGCGGGATTTTCTCATCTGTATCCCATGGGGTCACTTCTGATTGCACAAACACATGTTTTAGCTTGGCCACTAACTGCAGGCCAACTTACAAGATCTGTCTTTCCTTTTTCTAGGTCATTCTGGACACACCAGGCCTCACTAGTCCGTTTAAAGCTAAAAGGTATCACCGCTGTTGTGGAGAGAGTGGGGGGGCCCTGTCCATCGAGGTTTGATAAAACCTGAGTGTGATTTCCACTGTGCAAAGGTTGTAAATTAGGAGTGACAGGAATATATATTTTTAGCCTTATTTTGGTCTCTGAGGTTTTTTATTGTTGCAATTTCAGTAGCACACAGAGGCTGTGGCATCCCTTGAGCCCTGTTGTGATGATTCTGTATATGTGCATGTAAAAAGGGATGTCACAGCCCGTAAGGCAGCTTTGTGTCAGCTGGGATGATGAAAACGGTGGTTTTCTCCCCCTTTGAGGGGAAGGAAGAGGATTGTGATATCAAGTGTGCCTGGCTTACTCATTTGCCTTTGTCTTTCAGACATAAATTAGATGAAGCCATGCTGACAGACCCATGGGACAGCATGAAACGTGCGGATTTAGGTAGGTGCTCAACTCCCCTTGGATCAAGCCAAACCCTTTGTCTGCCACAGAATTTAACCCTACCTACCCTCTGGTATCTGGATGTTCACTGGGCAGCAAAGGCAGCCCTGGGAGCATGAACTAGGAGGGAGGAGGGAAGGGCAGTGAAAAGACTTGAAATATTGAGCTGAGGAGGGGATAAGGATTGCCTGGTGCTGAGGGAAGACACCTTGGGTTAATAATTAGGTTTTCATGTTGAGTTTTAGTATGTTTGATGTCATTAGGATGACAGGTATGAACTGCATTTTATTGTTTTGTCAATTAAAATGCTCAGTTTTGATTCCATCTGCGCGCTCCCCTGTAGAGGAGAGCGAAGTAGCAGCAGGAGGGAAGCAATTCAATCATAAGCCATAGAGAAGCTGAAAACAAACACTTTGGAAAATGCAGATCCATCCTGTTTCCCTCCCTCTTTTCTGGCAGTTCTGGTTTTGGTGGATGTGTCAGATCACTGGACACGAAATTGTCTGAGCAAGGAGGTGCTGAAGTGTCTTTCTCAGTTCCCCCAGATCCCCAGTGTCCTGGTTCTGAACAAGGTAAATGAGGAGCTTGTTCTTTCTGCCTTCTACAGCACGTTATGCCAGTGTCTTCAGACGGTACCCGGCATCAGCAGCGATGTGTTTTCAGGTCAATGAGTCTGTGTGTGTTAAAAGACGCCGGTTTCCCCTTCTATTCCAGAATATTTCAGTGTATATGTATGTATACATGTTATGTGCTCACACATCCCTGAAGCTATATGCTGGGGTTTAAATCAGCCTGGGAACAAGAGCTGGCACCGCCGTGGGGTTGGCCAGGGAGGACCCTGGCAGAGCCGACAGAGAAGGTGTTACTGTCAAGTTGACAGCGTTTGGACAAACTGTGCTGGAACTGCTGACACACTCTGATTTGGCCTCTGGTCGGAAAACCGTCCGGTTCTGTTGCAGAAGCCTTGTCCTGCAGTAGCTGCCTCCCCTGGGGGGTTTCTTCTGGCTCCTGCCAACCTCATTTAGGATGAATTGCTGACACCTCTCTCTCATGTTAGGTGGATCTGGTAAAGAAGAAGTTCATCCTGCTGGAACTAGTGACTGAGCTAACAGAGGGAATTGTGAACGGAAAGAAAGTGGAAGTGAAATCTGCATTTAAACGTAATTCCAGTTCTTCAGCAAAGTCTCTTCAAATCACTCAGGCTTCTCCACCTGAGAGTAGGGCCCCTGAGTCTCACTGTCTGCAGGAAACAGCTCAAGCCCCAGAAGGCTGTCGCTTGGACAACAGCAGTGATACAAGGGCTTCTGAGTCCAGCCTTGTCACAGAAGTAGCACAAGGGCCAAAACACTATGGACCCGGAGATCTAAAAAATATGAAAGGCTGGCCGTACTTCCAGGAGATCTTCATGCTGGCAGCTCTCCATGGGGAGGAGGTGGATACACTCAAGGTAACTGCAGGCAAACTTCTGTTACGCTTTGGGATTGGTGTGTTCTTACACTTGTGGGACCCCGGTACTTCATACGGAGCTTCATCTCCTGTGAGGATATAGCAGAGCTGCTGCTCTTGGCCTGGGACGGGGGGGGGGAAGTGTTGTTTGTCAACATGGAGTGTGTCTGTGCTGTACCTGCAGAGTTTTCTGCATAGAACTCTTATTTGGGACTCTCCAAACAGCAGCTTGTTCATAATGATGAAGCCATCCAACCTTTCAGCTATGTGGGATACTGTGGCTTTTGTACCTCATACAAACAGCTCTAGGGAGGTGTGACCCTTTGGCAGGGTTTGAGTTTCAGAAGCTTCCCCTCTCTCCTTTCCCTGCCAAAGATACTAAACTCCTGCCCTGATGCCTGAGTGGCAGCAGTGTCCTCATAGCGACTCGCTGCAAGGTGAGCACAGGGGTTGGTGGCACCGTGTGAGCGGTACGTGACAGCCGATGGGTGTGACGTGTGTTTTGTGCTGACAGCGGTACCTCCTGATGCAAGCCAAGCCGGGCCCTTGGGAGTTTCACAGTGGCGTCTTGACCAGCCAGTCACCTCAAGAGATCTGTGATAATATCATCAGGGAGAAGATACTGGAGTACCTGCCGCTGGAAGTACCCTATGGTGTGATTCAGGTGGGAAGCATGCACAGACGGACTTGCCTTCGAGCTATTTTATTGGAAACACCGGACTACGTGATGAGAATCCCTTTGTTTGAATTTGAAACCCCTTCTGGGCCCAGTGGGGTGGCTTAGAATTTGCACGTGGGGTGCTGTGAGACCCTTTGTGTGTTTGAGGAGGGGCCACCCTTGTACGCTCATGTCCGGGAGCTGAGCTGGCATCTCTGAGGGAGCGGCGGTTGCGGTTCCTGAGGCGCTTTGCAGAATTGCTGAGCGTGCGTTTGCTGTTGCAGGTGACGGAGATGTGGGAGGAAGGACCGAGTGGGGAGCTCCTCATCGTGCAGAACCTCTTGGTCCCAAGGAAGTCTCATATGGTGAGTGACAGAAGAGAGATGGGGAGCATGAAAGGAGGTTCCCTGGGTCCGGTGCACGTGCATCCTTGCTGTGATCCCGTCTCCCTTGGCCGTGGGGTCTCTGTTGGGAAGAGCCAGGTGCCCAACGCCGTCTCAGGCTGTTCAGTAACACCTTACACCTTTCTGAGGTTGTCCAAGGTTTGATCTTGGGATTTCTCTAACTGCTATATCCCCTCTAATTGCTTCTGTTGCACTGTTCAGTGCTTCTGGCTGCACTGTTCTTTTCTTGGGTGATTCCTCCCCGCAGTTAAGCGATGTAAGGGTGAGTATGATGATCTTCTCTCTGGGTTTTAATACAGATGATGTTGATTGGAAGAGGAGGTAATGTTATCAGCAGGATTGCTCAGGAGGCTGGCCAGGACCTGATGAACGCTTTCCTGTGTGATGTCCGCTTGAAGCTCAAGGTGGAGATGAAGAGTTGAGCTCTTTGTGTATGTTTTAACAACCCTTGAGCTCTCTGGTCACAAGGAGAAACTGGTCCCGTTTTCCCCTGCGGGTATCTTGGCACCTTTGTTCAATCCAGAAACAGAGGATGATGGAATCAATATAGCGGGCTGGAGTAGAATATGTTATTCTTTGGGGGAATGGCCCAAACTGAAATAAAATCTTCAGACTTTTTATGGCACCTTATCTCGTGGAAGCTGGGGACGGACATCAGAGAACCAGCTGCACACGCAATTCTAGTCCTCCATTTACAGAGCTGTCATCCACTTCTTTTGGGCTGTGTCCCACATCCTTGCTGTCAGGTGTTCGTGCCTGGAAGTTCAGGAGCATCTCCTGTCTTTTAGCAGACAAAGGGTTGCAGTGAAGGGCTGTCAGCACTCGTTTATCACCTCTTCTGAAGGCTGAATGACTCCAGCAGTGGTCATGCAGGAGGAAGAGGCTGCCCCTGCCCACGCAGTGGTCTCATGTTGGCCTTGCTCTCTGCGCTCTTGAAGTTCATGGGCGTGAGTGTGTGACTGTGTAGGAGTGTCTGTAGATCGTAAAGGCCGGTGGCTTCCAAATCCTGGGTGGGAGCCCTTCCCACAGGCTTGCGTGCACCATCTTAGCTGAGTGTCAGCTGCTGCTTTCAGTTTGACCTCTTCTGTGTGGTAGTTTGTACAAATGCTTGTTCCTTCTCTTTTCCCTGTCATCCTTTCCTCCAACTTCCTAAGCAGTTCACTGCTCCTGGCGTGTGGTACTCGTTCCGGAGGGATGGGTCTGGTCACAGACTCTTATTCTAAGAGTGTATTCCTGGAGAAGCGAGAAACGGAACCGTGATCTGTTGTCGGTGTGTATATGAGCTGCTTCCGAGACTGCCGGTGAGAGGAGCAGGGAGGTCAGGGAAGGCTCGCTGCGCTTGCAAGCGTTTGCTGGAGCCTATTAATGAGAAAGGGAAATGGAGCAGGGAATAGGCATCTTCCTGCCTCCTATACGTCTTGTTTCTGGTGCTCTGTGGGGTCCTGTCTGTCCACCCCTCTGGGTGTTTGGCTAATGAATGAAGAAATGTTGAGTGGTTTGGTCTGAAGATGCCACTGACAGCATCTCGTGGATGCTTACTTCTTTGGAATGGCTTGTTTGTCATGCAAAACCAGAGTGGACTCCCTTTCTTAGGAATTTGAATAGTTTATTGCATCAAAGTTACTTCAAAGTCATTACTCTTTGCACCAGGGTTGCAGATACAAATACAGAGGCCCTCGCAGCTAAAGAGATGCCCGACATGGGAACAGCAGCGGGTTCTGCAGCTCAGGTTTAGTGGGGTGTCGGGGATGGAGAGCAACTGGCACAGGTCAGGGTGGAAGCAAGGCTTGGAGGCTGGAGGAGCAGGGCTGTGCCAGGGCTGGGGCACCGCGTGCCCTGGGCACGGAGCGCGGTGGATCCTGGCACCATGTGCCCGGGCCCCTGCCAGTCCTGGTGTTTGGGGGCTTGAGTTTTTCGTCTCTGTACATCACTGTGCTCAGGTGTTTGGAGCACTGGGTAGGTTCCTGCCAGAAATCCAGGTAAATCCCCGTGGGTTGTTTTAAATTAACATCCCTGAGCGAGGCGGCTGCGGGCTGCTGCCCCGGCAGTTGAATGAGGAGATCTGGTAGGGTCTGCTGGGGACTCTGCGCCTGCCTGGAACCCAGACTTGCGGAGCAAATCCTCTGTCCACCCTCCCTCTCCGGTGCAACCTCAAGGAGATGTTTTACCAGCACTGGCAAAAGCCTGCGTCTGACCTGCCGAAGGGTTTTACCATCAGGACCGTGAGATCGTCTGGAAGCCGGGTTAAGAGCCTCTGGAGAGGCGCGCGGTGGCCCGCCTTGTCCGCCCCGAGCAGCGCACGCTGCGGTCCCTCAAGTGCTTCTATCTGACTTTTTGTATTTTCCTTGCAATAAAACGAGGTCCCAGCACAAGCAATTGTTCTCATCTCCTTTCTTCCTCCCAGTCGGCCAGCCCTCGCAGCCACCACCCTCCATCCCTTTTATTCTGACTAAAACCAGGACGCTTCCATGTCTTTCCTCCTTTCTTCCCAGCCGCGCTTAGATCCAGTTTCTCGAGCTATGGCTTCTGAAGGTTACACCTTGCGGGGGGAAAAGAGCTGGGTAAGCGTGCTCAGAGGGGTTGAGGTGTTCTGTTGGACAGGGGGTGCAAGGGGCAGACCGTTCCCTTCCGGCACGCCAAGGTCCGGGTCGTGCTCTGCTGCTGCGGAGCCTCGTCCCAGGCAGGAGGAGGGATGGAGCTAAGCGTCCAGAGCCGTGGCCGGTCCTGGGAGCGATGGAAGTGCTCCAGGTGTGGGAAGGGGTGAAGTCTCTCGACTTCCTGACCTGCAGCTCTTTAATGAGGTTTGATAATTAGGTTAATTAGCCCCAGGCAAGCCAA